ACTTGTGTCCTGCACACAAGTCTCATCCAACAGTTGAACATCAAATTTGGTCATAATCGATCTCTCGTTAGATCGAACCAATATTTGAGAGCCATGATAGCCTGAAGAGAAATTGACCTAAGGATGAGAAATTTCTAAAATATAAAGTTTCACTTGAATTTTGTTCAACCCTATATATAAGTTTCACGAGGAAGTCGAAACACCTCATTGGGCTCTGTCAGGAGTTCATATCGGCGCAAAAATTGAGGGTTCAATGATTTCAGAAATTACGCAAAATCCTATTTATAAAAATTAATATTTTACAATAGTGTTGTTCACCACCTTGGGCAGGTTTAAACCTCAACTCAATAGGTTCTTTTACAACACACACCCACCAAACTTATACTTTTCTATTTTTTATGCTCCGCCCGAACACCAAAAATCGAGCTGGTCGTCTGAACTTCTACCAGTTTGGCCCGGAGATTCGCCGCCTCTGCTCGGATATCCTCCATACTAGCATAGAGGCCGCCAATTCCTCCCTCAAATCTAATATGGCGGTCACTCTCTAAAGACCTGCAGCCCGGGCAAGTGAGTCCATAGTTTCGTCCATGCGCCAGACCAAAGTCATGGGACCTTCAGTCGTTCATGTCCCTCTCTGGGTCATTTAAAGGAGGAGGTGGAGCAAAATATGTGGTGGGACAGACGCCACTCCAATTGAGACAAGAGTAGAAGGATCGACAGTTGCCTTTGGTTCGGGAAGATGCTCAACTTTTTTGTACTGGGAGTTAATGATCTCCATGGTCCCCTCTGCGACATTAGAGTCGGCGTTATAAGAATAAAATTGAAGGATCTAATGAGGATAATCTAGGTTACTAATGCTAACTAGCTCCGATGTACATAGACTTTCTACAACGAGACAGGTAGCACCAATCGGAGCCACCACTTTGGCCAAAGGCGTCGGGGGATCACCTTGCGTGGTTTGCCTTGACGAGGCCCGGATCGGACCCTAGCCAAAAGCAAAACTGTCCTTTGCTATTTACTTCCATGGGGGCTGGATTATGATGAATTCTGACGGCGAAACTAGTGCAGTCATTACTATTTGCTCTTGTTCCAACAAAGACAGTTGAGCCGGAAGTTGGCGGAGTGACTTAGGAGCTAAGACAGGAGCCTCCAAAATACACCCTCATTTGCGATTCCTAACCTCCAGCTGGGGCAATGAGTTGGATGATTCTCCAAACCCTTCCACTTGCGACTGCTTTTGCCGTTATATGTTTAATTGATTTAGGCCCTTCGGGCTTGGTTCCTTCGACTGGTCTTTTAGTCCTAGTCGTGTTCCTCTCTTCTCCCAGCCTTCTCTCAGTCGTGCAGTCATTTTCGCCTGTTCTCCTTTATGGCCAGGTGAGAATTTTTAATTTTTTTCTTTCTCTCGTCCTCCGAAGGGCAAATCTTCAATGCAGGAAGCTCAAAAGCCCTATGTATAGGGAGAAGCAATAAAAAAATCCAAAGAGTACAATTATTGGCATTATTCATGTAAGGAATTATGACATTTATTTTTTTATTATTATGACAACTGTCACTTTCAAAGATATTAGAAAATCGAGAAACTAATTATGTATGCCATTAATGTGGCCTCATGAATCTCAAGGAGATTCAATGGAGCGCACAAGGAAAGCAATAGAAGCACGAACATTCATCACTGCACCAGTTGGTCAAAATTTAGGCTGACCAAATAAACGTCTGACTAAACCCAGAAGCGCTGCGCCCCGCATCTATGACTACTTAGCCGATGTTTGACATTAGAAAGATCAATAACTGCCTGAAAGAGATCCTTTTTACACAGACTCATCTATTGAAGGAAGGATGTTTATCAAATTATGATAAAATATCATCTGCATGATGGAACAATCCTTTTCAAGTAAGATGAGCCTTCACAACGAATTTCTTCGGAAGATGCTACTGTAAATTATTTGGTCAGCCGATACTCTTTGCTGGAAAGCTCGAATGACTGGAGAGTAATGCCTAAATATCCGAAAAACTCAAATGGTCTCCTCATCTTTACGTGAAAAAGATTCTCATATTTATAGTTCATAGGTGGTATCTATAAAATTATATTATTGCTCCTGGGAGTTATAAGCTATTATGCCTTTGGGAGTTACAAGCTATTATACCCCTGAGAGTTACCTGTTGTTATTATCTCTGGGGTTACCAATTATTATGCCTCGGGGAGTTACCAATTATTATTGTCCCTGGGAGTAATCTGCTATTATTGTCTCTATTAGCATCTTTTCGTATATCTGACACCTTTTTGTATGCCTAATACTTTTTCGTATGTCTTACACCTTTTCGTTGTTGGGTCCATCCAATGATGTGGCCAACCGGTCAACTGGGGTGGCCGACTGAATGAGGCGGCAGACCGGTCTCTCTGCTACCATCAACATTTTTTCGGACATAAATAAATGCCCCAAGTTTTTTCTTGGAAGTGAAGTTGTGATGAGAATGAAAGACTTTAATTGTCAAAAATGTAAATGCAATGATCATACTTCCTTGATTCAACATCTCTAAGTGCCATGTTTTCTTCGGCCCAAAGTGCTCTCATGAAGCTTTTTCGGTTCGATTTGTGATATGTGTTACTGGTTGTCTATTTGACCTTCGACTAATTGAGGTGACTTTTGATTAGTCTTATTTGTTTCAGCTTTATCTAGCTATTTATTTACGATAGTTGCTTAAGGATGAATGTTGGTGCTGGTTGATTTGCTCGCATTGGAGGGGAGTCTTTCATTTGCTCGCCCTGGAAGAGAGTCTTTGATTTGCTCCTCCCGGAAATGAGTATTTGATTTGCTCGCCTTTGAGGGGAGTCTTTGATTTGTTCGCTCTGGAGGGGAGACTTTGATTTGCTCTCCCTACGAGGGGAGTCTTTGATTTACTCGCCTCATATGGGAGTTTGATTTGTTCACCATGGTGAGAAATCTTTGCTTTACTGAGGCGGTTTGAATTTTCTGAGTGTCGGCATAGATGCATAACTGTGAACTTTTTGTGTTTCTCGAGTTTTTGTCAAACCTAGGAAATAAAATAAGAATGGAGAGGTATGTATGTAAGTCTTCCCTGATTTTGAGATGGCTTTGCGATCAAAAGCTGGTGGTTTGCCAAAGGCGATTTCTTAGAAACACAAACGAATTGAGTGGTATTTACGTAAACATACAAAATATATAAGAATTGAGTGATATATCTATGAATCTTTCTTGATTTTAAGATGGTTGGCTGGAGACATACAATCGATCAGAAGTTGGTGGTCTGCCGGAGCATCGCTCGGCTGGAGGGTGATTTGCTTAGTAAATCACTGCCCTATTTGATCGCTTGTCGAAGCCTTCACTTTAGTGCAATAAGAATAAGGAGCTCCATCTTGTAGATAGTTTGAGGCTCAGATGAATTTAGCATTCTTAATTTATATACATGAAGAATCCAAGCCACAACAACCTCTAGGGCAGGAAAATCGATCGACCTTGACCGGAGTCAGGTCAGATAATCCACCTTCGGCGAGTACTTTACCTCCCTCTTCACGAACACAACAATCCACTGATTTGAGTCATCCAGAAACTCAAAGACTACGCCGGTGGCTGGAGACCCCCTAGTCAGCTCATCTAGCTCGTCAAGGCCTTCCTCATAGAGGTCACCCCACGAGGCTTTATTTTGAACCAAGGAGAGCTCAATTTAGGAAGCATTTGTTAGTGGAAACGGTGAGCTGACAATTCACCCTCATTTAGTTTCCCTGGCCGGAGAAAGCGCAAAGAGGCGGGTGAATGCGAAAGAGCATTTTAACGCGACAGGGAGGAGGGAGAATCATATATCTCTAAATATGGAAGCTCAGAGCATGTATAGATCTAGGGGAAAGAGATGAAATTTCTTTGAAATCAATGGCGATGAGGAATAAATAGAGTTGATTTGCTGTTGTGCCATTTCTTCTTATGCGCTCTTTACTAGGAGCGCTTCTGTGAATAATTTTTTTTCTCGATGTTGCCCTTCTTGCATCTTTTAAAATATTGAATCCAAATTTGCCCTGCAGATTATGCCCAATGCATAGAGTGTAGGGCCGAGGGAGAGAAAAAGAGCAAGAGAGAGATAAAGAGCGACACAACCATTGCTCCCAGCGGGACAAAGTGGGGGTGTTCCCTGAGATCTCGGACCCGTTCTATACATTGAGAATGCGAGAATGTGAGAATAATGCCTAAATTGATGGAAAACTCAAATCGTATCCTCTTCTTTAAATTAAAAAATCCTCCTATTTATAATTCATAGGGGGTATTTGCTCTTGGGAGTTACTAGTTATTATGCCTCTGGGAGTTACCAGATATTATTATCTATGGGAGTTATCAGTTTTTGTGCCTCTGGGAGTTACCGGTTATTAATATCCATGGGAGTTAATTATTATCGTCTTCATTAGCACATTTCGTATATTTGACACTCTTTCAT